TGGCCAGAGGGGCGGGGGCTTAGTGTGCTAGTGTGTAAATGCATGACTATATTCGTTTTGTGAAGATTGAATGTGAAAAAACAACGTCGAAAAAAGTTATAAAAATTCAGAACTTACGTCACTTCATTGTGAAGTGGGCGGAGTCATATATGTGTCGGTAGCAAACCTATTCAGTTGAATGTGTGTGTCAAGTAGCAAAAGTGAAAAAAATTTGAAGAAGCAGAATTCATAAAACATTTGGAAACCACGGCCGCGCTAAGAAGTGGGCGGGGGTGTTGGGGCGGGTGTGCAGTACCTAGTGTGGTCTAGTTCTCAACTGCCCATTGTAAGGGGTGTGTCCGATTTGATTTGAAAAGTGTCCGATTTGGTTTGAAAAGTGATTTGATTTGAAAAGTGTCCGATTTGGTTTGAAGTGTCTTGGATTGCAAAGTGTCCGATTTAAAGTGAAAATGGTATATCTCGCCTGTTTTTCTTTTTCCGTTCAGGGTCTCTTCGCTGTATGTTCTCATCATGCTTATAACTACAAGGACTCTTGTCAGAGTATTTCCAACTATTTTTCCTACCTTTTTCACTGTTGAGTTACCTAGCAACGGCATTCGTAATCGAGCCCCACTACCTGAGGGTGGAAAAAGTAAAAGGAAGCGAAGATACAGCTCTACATAGACTTTGATTGTTTCAAGCATTGTTACGGCCAAGAGACATGTAGCGTGCAAAAGGAAAACGGTGAGATGGTACAAGTGGCCAGATGGTAGAAAAGAAGAGCGAGACCAAGTCGCTATACAGTGCTGTGTTGAATAAAAAGGGAGGATGGCGACTTCACATGCGGAGCCCGACTATGGCGCCAGGCCCATGACATGCTTACTGAACGTTCAGACCGCAAAAATAGGACCTGCGCTGTGGCTGCGAACAGCGCCACCTTTTGTAAAAAAAGGGCTTTTCTTCAGGCGAGCTGTGTTTTTGAGACGAATTGGTGTTGAAAAGGAAAAATGCCGAACACTGTCCTATCCCTTTAACTAATAATATTGCCTGCGGTAAACGAAATGAGTGGTGGCGGCAATGCGAGTGACGGTTTCAAACCGGAGGTGCTAGAAGAGGATCTCACCTGATTTTTGGAATAACATTGAGAATAAACTTCTCGACAGGACCACCGATGTTGCTTCCACCACGGAATCCACGGTTCTCACTTCCTGGTACCCATATCGACGGCGGTGGTTTGGGTAGAGGTTGTCCAGAATCTACAAAGTGAACGGATTAAGGGCTTAATTATCCACGTTTTGGGAATTTCAGGAAAAATATCCACCTTGTATATATCGCAGATTGAATCCTGTCTCGTAGTTCAGTGCTGTGGAGTCAGCAATGATCAACACTTCGGCTTGTTCTGACGTCACTTGAATTTCCTTTTCCTTCTCGTTACAGCTAGAAATAGGGGGAAAATAATGATTGCGCTTGAAAAATTGCATTGCAAAACATTCCAAAAATTGAAAAAGGAATCGATGACGAAACGATTCCAAAAAATTCTGGATTCCTTTTCGGATCTCTGGAGGTCTTGCAAGGGACCTTTCCGGTGAACCTTCATGTTTTCACTTTTCATTTGCATAAGCCCAACAGAGTATTGGCTAGTTATAGTACTTCAGCAAGATGTAAGACTTGGAAACAAATTAGGCGAGGGTCTCTACATCAGAAGAATGGCAAGTAATGAAACGCGTACGAAAACAAGAAAGTTATCTACTTAAGTTCACAGTGTGCGGTCAGGGTGTTCGTGATGTGTGAAATGGTGGTGTCAGTACAACCCCCCCCCCCTTCCCCAACGCCTACCTGCCACTTTATTACATGTTCCCAGGTTCTTACCAAAACTTCCCGATAATTTGCTACTTTCTCTCAGAAAAGTTTCCGTCGAGAGAGAGGGGGAGACAGATAATACTCACGTTGACTTGCGCACCATATTGAAAAGTCAGCTTTATAGCTAGCCGCTCCACTTGTCGTTTAAATAGTCAAATCCTTCATCAGAGACTAAAATACAGCCACACCATAATGTATAATTAATCTATGTTCTGTTCATGCAAACATCTGGAGCATTAAACCGCCAAGCAGTTGCGTTGACCATAAGTGCATTTTTGAAGACGTTTGCTATGTAACAAGTGTAATTTCTGCTCTATGTGAGAAACAAAACCCCATGAGATTGTGAAGTAAGGCAATAGCATAGCGACAGTAGCACTTCTCTTACAGCCGGAACCAAGATGTTATAACATTTTTATTCCGCTAACCTTTCGGCGTTATCGCCTTCGTCAGAACCTGAGATTCATGAACCTTCTATGACGTCAGACCTATGAAGGCTCTTCGTAGAAGGCGAATGTGGACGTTTGCGAGCATAAGCTTCGTTCACTTTTGACAAGAATCTACAGGTCTTACCATGGTGAGACGTGTAGGCAAGTAGGGACTAATAAGAGAAGCTAGGAACTGGAAAAGTGTCACCCCCCACCTCAAAGATGAACTTAAACTCACCCCCCTGTACTGGGCTTGTCATGTGCGATATGAGTGGGTCCGCAGTCGCAGTAGAGTGCTGATTTCTCTGGCTACAAGCGCTCGGACTGGGGCTGTGCGGTAGTCGTACAGTCCTCATCATTACGAACTGTCGGGAGGGGGGGGCGGCACAGCCGCGCTGCACTGTGACGCGACAGCGGCTGCGGCTCGGTGACGGCGAATCAGCTGATTTCGATGGAATTCGGCTGCGAATTCCCACTTTTTCAGCTCTTCAAGCTTCGAAAGTGGAAGGTGAGTCATTTTGAACAATTTTGAATTGTACTGGCTCTAATTTCCTTTATTTTTATGTCGATTATTATGCTCTTTTCCTTGTATTTTGCCTTATTTCAGGCATTTATTCAAATGGCTTACATTCTTTCAGATTCATTCAGAGTCAGTACAATTTAAAATTGTTCAAAATAACCTTCCACTTTCGAAGCTTGAAGAGTTGAAAAAGTGGGAATTCGCAGCCGAATTCCATGGAAATCAGCTGATTCGCCGTCACCGAGCCGCAGCCGCTGTCGCGTCACATTGCAGCGCGGCTGTGCCGCCCCGACAGTCCGTAATGATGAGGACTGTACACGTGTGCCGTGTCCGCGCTTCCTCTCCGAACCACAGCCAAACGCGCTACTTCTCTGCGCCCTCTCACTTGTAGTTGTTCTCTACCGCCGAGTGCGTATTTTGCTGCGGGACCTTAGTATCGACGCAAAAGCTGCTTCAGAATAGCGTGGACTGTGCATGGAGACGGCTTTCCGGTACAACTACCCTCCAGCCTAGCTCTTGCGCTTTTTTGAGCGAAGAAAGCGGCTGGCTACCGCAGGTGCAAACAGATTCACCTCGAATACGGAACGGACCATCATCGGAGGTTAGTGTACTTGTCTCCGAACCAAACAGTGCCCACTTTCCGACGACCCTAACTAACCCCGAACAGGGAGGAGGATTTCGCCTCATTCGAGGAAGTTCGAGCGAGATCTGCATTTCAAGCTTCATCTTTCATTGTCCTACTGTTGCCCGCATTCAGGGAAAGAATGTTCTTGAGGACGTCTTTGGCATATGACTAATTCCAAGTAGTTTTTCTTCTAACATCCACTCTGTCTTCCATCCCAATGAACGTGATTCGGTCTTGTCTCTGGGACTCACATACAGTCTTGTTCGCTGCGGACGCTGGGGCCTGTCAGGGAGGCTGGAGCTGGCGCATAACCAGCAAGTTCTACCGAATGTTAAAGCAGCTAAAGCAGAATCGAGTGAGAAAGGGGTCGGAAACGTCGTCGTCGTCGTTTTGATTGTCAAACATAGGTCTAGCATTTCGCCAGCCAACAAGAATTGATGGATCATTCCGTGGCAGTGACATTTTAGTACAGAAATCAAGCTCATTTCTCGAAATATCCTTGCTCGAAGATCATACCAATGCACGCGAAGAGCCTGTCTGTTGACAGTCCGATTGGTAGTTGATTCTCCACAGAACGCCTTACATGTTGAATTCACACACGATAGTTAACGTTGGTCAGAATGAAACGGATACGAGCATTGTTTGTCTGTAAAGCAATGGATCCGATGATATCTAGCTCACTGATCTTATAATTCATTACAGATAAAATTAGAAAAAATTCTGAATGCCTTTGCGTTGATCAGCTCCTTTACAGCATGCGCCATGTATTCTACTTCTATTCAAAAAGTACAAGTATTTTGTGTGGAAATGGTCTACGTAGATTTGCGGGACTTCAGCCAATGGTTTTTTGCTCTTCAACGAGTCTGGTTCTGACCAATTGAGTGTGGGGACAGGAAAGCTCGCATGATGAAGCTCTAGCTCATCCGAGATTTGGCCGCTTTCGTGGTAAACAGTCACTGCGCCCCTTCACCCACAGATGAGCGAGAAACGGGATAAGGACTTCACAGTTCAAATCATACCGAGCAGCTTCCATTAAAGGCGCGGTGCGCGATAAGCAGCACATTTGTCAGCGGTGAAATTTGAGAGCGAAGTTGAGGAATGACTCGTACGCGAGAAGAAAATGCCAATGAGAACGTCGGAAACACCTTATTATGACCCCTTCAGTCTCAAACTGTTGCTCTGAAGATTGCTCAAAAGGTTGGAGCGCTCTTAGTTTGCTGACTACTTGTGATGAACCTTATGACCCCACAAGTGGCAATGTAGCATCCACTTCGTGCTATTTGTCCGGTAGAAACGCTTTTGGCTGGCAGGCTACCTTGGAAGGCGGAGTATGAATTTTGCAGCATAACTCCTACATCTTGCAACTTTCGGCCGTGAAACTGGTACAGAGTTGTTCACTGCGGACCACAATCAAGTCTTCTGCATTTTCATGGGTCATCGCGGACCGTTCCTTTCACCCAAGAACTTATCCCTCTGGGCCGGAGACGGACACTTCTTCTCATATCCAACCTTTAACTCCATCATTCGTACTGTTCAAGTTCAGCATGCTTCAGGTAGGGCGAAGGCGCTTGGAAGGGGGCCTTCGAAGAACTCCTCGTGCTCAAATGGGACTCCCACTATCTGACTGCGACCTTACTCGAAAACTGGTTTAGCTCACCAGGGGTCCTTCCGATTTTAGGCTTCAATCGTAATGTCCTCGACTCTATTACGATGATCCCAGTTTGCATAGAAACCCTTTGTGACACTTTCTTCCCCTCCCTTCAGGCAATTTGCAAATTTTATGTTTTAGTGCATTAGAAAAAATGTGTTTCAGACCTGACGATGGGGCTGAGCCCAAGATGATGCTGGAAGGGATTCTGATAGAAGCCCCATTTTGCGAATATAACATTTGGAAAGTGTTACGTAAACGAGAAGTCAAAACTTACTCGTATTCTCCAAAAGCATTTCTTTTTTCCACGATGAACCAGTTCCTGCCATATAGGAGTAGCAACTAATTCACCGCCACAACCTACTGCAAAGATGACGATCTTCGAAAGGACGCGAAGAAATTGTACTGGTATAAACGTCAAATAAAAACAGACTAACCTTGTGGAATTTCCTGACATGTCTTACCGGCTAATCCTTTTGGACATTTACATCTATTACAGTTGTTCGGATCCGAATAACCACCATTCTGGCAGGGCAGTTGAGGGCACAGGTCTGTAAGTCGAAACAGGTGAGTGCATGAAGCACGAGGATTAAGCTGACTTCTAAGCACAGCTAGCGCTGATTGCATGAACGGAGCCCGATGAATTTTGCCTTCCTTTTATTGTAAGGTATAGTTCATGACATCGTCGGGAACGGAGTGAGGAGGGTGGGAACAGCCCGCCTCCGGCTGCCTTGCTCTACCAATGGTGATCGAATAGTGATGGATTAGGGAAAAACAGCCAGTGATGGGAACGCTACAGGCGGATACCGGCTGATTGCGACCCGAGTGGTTGTGATGGTATGAACTGTAGCATTCCTTCCCACAAGAAGCGAAGGAAGGGCGCACATAGAGGTAACAATGTAAACCGATACCGCCCATGATATCAGCGTGGACTGTGCCTTCGAAACAACAAGTTATTTTCACTCACCGTTACAGTATAGTCGATTAACTTGCTTCACATCAATAAAAAGAAGTTCTTCACTTGAAAACGGCAAATTGTTTTGATAATTCGGGTCGTTGGTTCTAATTGTTATTTCGTTCCAGTCTTTTGTGAACGCCTTAAAACTGATGAGAAGCATTCAATTCAACGGTTATGGAGAAGAACGTTCGCTGTGAAGATTCTTCGAACTGCATGTTGATTTATTGTGCGCGTAATCTTTGGGATCTTTTCTATCCGTAGACAGCCCAGGCGCTAGCGCTTGTAGCTTCAGGAGTATTGGAAAAGCATGAAGGTATTCTCTGTGATGTCCATTTCGAAAGGTGGAAGTCCAACCTCTGCCAATAAACACCATGCAAAAATCTAGTTTGTCACGCCGTGTTTTCTGCAGATGGTGAGGCGTGAGAGGGGGTGGAGAGGGGCTGGGTTTGGCATGGGGCCATCCCAGCCCCTCTCCACCCCCTCTCACGCCCCACCATCTGCACCTGCAGTGACGTGAAAGCGGGCAAGCGATAGCAGTTGTGCCAAACCTAGCCTCCTGACTCGCTCCAGCGTCTGCAACGCAAATGACTAAAGGAAGGGGGAGAAAGGACACTTTCCTTCCTCTACTACCAAAGCGGTATAAGTTACACTTTATCAAATTCTGATTAGACAGTCCTACCAGCGTATTTAACAGCATGTTAAGTATTATCATGATACTCCGCCACAGCCTTCTGGAGGAGCGCCATCGGAAATTCAGGCCCGGGACGGTGATTGGGTCATGAGACACATTTAGATATTCCGTCTTCAACAGGTACTCAACGCCCTTCCATTCCAAGTAGGCGAATGTTTTTCCAACGCCTTTCGATTCCATGTAATGGCACCAAATACTGTGCAGCACAATGTTTCCAAGATGGTACGGGCGACGACATGAAGGTAGGACAGTCTGCTCGAGTGGCTCGATGTAGCCGTCAACGTTCACTTCCAGCCCGGGTCTACAAAGAAAATATCGGTCTTCCCATTCCAGGTGCCCCGGCCATCCATCATCTGCACCGCTTGGCGACCTGTCGGTGAAGATGATGTCCTAGACCGTAGCGACGTTGTCGAAGCTGTTCAATGTTGGAAGTCTTCCAGATTAAGAGTATTGGTCTCCAGGTAGCTATCCATGGGTGACTCCATACTAGAAGTTTCGCAGCTGTTTGGAGGTGACATGAATTCCAAAGGTCTTCTCCAGTCAGGCTGCGACTGGAGATGACTTCATATTTTGGTGTACATGAAGGTGATGGGCGAGAGCCAGCTCCTGCTTATCGAGGAACATCTTGGGTATCTTCCGCCTTGGTAAACGTATCCAAGTCTTCTGTCTGGGATGCGAGAACTTTATTGATATGTAGTTCGGCAAAGTGTCTGTCCCCCCCCTCCGTGATGTGACGCCACCAGGCTTTCCAACTGCCACCCAGCTGCCACCACACTAGTTCTCCACCATCATTGCCTGTCTATTATGGGACAATCACTATTACAATTCGCTATGAAATCCACAGCGCAGGTAAGGGGGCCTCGTTGAAGGAGGTTCTAGCGTCGCAGTGATGTGCCTTGGCGATCATGTAATAAGTAAACATGAATGTACCAAACGAGCTCCTTCACACTCCTTTTCTAGTGCCCTACCCACGTCCCTACACCGCCACGCACTGTTGAAGCCTCTCAAAGAAACATTGCATGATCAGCTTATAGGCAGAATCTGTCCCTTGTGTAAGGTGGACATCCCACAACTTTAGAGGATTTATCACTTTCACAAGTCAAAAGTCCGTAGTAAAACTGACAAGGGCTTGAGACTATTAACCATTTCAACCGCATGTCAGACACACTCACAACGCGCAGTCACTGCAAGGAGCTGCGTTTAATATTTTGGTATCTGTAGTGGGTGCAACTGTGTGCTATTGCTAGCCTCCCGTTACCACTGTCTGTCTCTCGTCCGTGCACTCAGTGTCTCGCGGCCTCTCGCTTTTTCGTATGCTCTGCAGGCCTTATCGTCACTGGTGTTTCCTCGCTGGTAACTCTATAGCTGCACAATCTCGTTTATTTTTCTCAGACCTGCTACCCACAACTTGCCGTCGTGTGATGTGTTTTCATCTTTGACGAACCCTTACTTTTCTCAAACTTACGAGGTAGTTTCTCGAAATAGAATAAGTACATGCACCTACACAAAAACCCTGCATCCCCTCTGAAATTTTTCACATTGGATGCGCACCCGCCAAAGACGATAAGGGCTACAACACTGTGATATTTACGTACATTAGCTCCATAGTGCATCACGGAGCCCAAATCATACGGTAGGCCCATGTTTTCGATCTCCTGCGTAGTCCGTCGTTCGAAGTTTCCATCGGTGCCGCGTATTATGAATTGCTTGCTGAAGTAAAATCAGAAATACTGAGTTTTCATCTGTACACTTTCCTCACAAAATTAAAGATATCTACAGTCGTCAGCCGGGGACTTGATTAGTGCGGCAAGGGTCGCGACGCGGCTGCAACGCGTCATGGCCGCTGTTTCCGGCCTAATTTCGCCATTTTCTCCCCAATTTTCACTGCATTTTCTTTTCAAGGTGAGTTGTTTCATTGTCTTTATGAAGCACATGACGGCATGGAGTCCTTTTTTGTTTTTGCAGTAGTGTTTTTGCGATTTTTTTCAGGGATTTGTTGTCTCAACTGTTAAATTGTACGCAAAAAATTAGAGGAAGCTCGATCGTAATTCATCTGGTAAAGACAAGGAACAATTAATCTTAAGAAAAGCAGCCAAAACAGTGTAAATTAGGGGTAAAATGGTTAAGAATAGGCTGGAAGCAGGTGATCGCCGCGTCCGTGACACGCCGCAGCCACTTCGCGACCCTTGCCACACTGGTCAAGTCTCCGGTGACGACTGTACGTCTTTTGCGATATACATCCAAGATGAAGATCCGAGATTGAACCAAACACTACTCTCTTGAGGACCTATATAAAAAACCCTCGTAGGCACCTCTTCAGGGCCAAGTGAGCTCGCCCATCATTGGTGCTTCTTCCTTAAGAAGTTGGGAGGGAGAGCCCATTTGAGGAAGGCATCAATTGGTTAATCGATTCCATTAGGATTGCGAATAGCATGGGCAAGTGAGAGCTCAGCCAGTAAAAGAGGCGAAGGATTCCACACAAAGAAGATAGAAAAGTTTGTTAGAAACAAAATGAATGGCTCACTTCAGTGATATATATCGATCGCGATCTGGTCGTGATTGTTCGTGCCAAAATCCGAGAGAATGTCCGACTTCGTGAGCAACTATCCCTTTCTGGAAAATCACCTGTCACCTTCTATGAAGATATAATAGTCTTTAAACGGGAAGATGTAGTGCCTATATATATTATTATTTTTTATAACGACTGCACTTGTAATAAAATGCCTATTAAACCCGCGCACAAAACGCCTATCTTCCTTCTCATCTCTTTCCTCCTCTTGCGCGGCTCTGCCTCCTCCTCACTCTCCGCGCCGCTCACTTCCTTGCCCTCAATCCTTTGATATCAATGAACTGTTTAGTGAGTGCGAGTGGCTCTTCATTCTATCGGCCATATGATCTTCGCGAATCTACCCCGACACTCCCTCCTCTCGGAATTCGTTTCACATTCCATGGGTCCTCGCGACCGTTCCCAAGAAGGTTACTAATATAGCCTTTAAGCCGACAAAAAACCAAGAAATACTTAAATTCTGCTTTTGGGACATAGTGTTTTGAGCCTCGGAAGGAGGTCAGGCACGTTTTCGTTTCCGCCGCAGACATTGGGGCATGTGGGGCTAGGTTTGGCACGGCGCCGCCCTGTTCTCCACCAATTGCTGTCGCTTGCCCGCTTCAACGACTCATGGAGAAGGGACTGGCGCCGCGCTGAACTCGGCACCTCACGCGTCTCGTTGGCAGCTTAAAAGGCACGGTCCGCGATAAGGAGCGTAGATAATGATGTTGGAATATGGAAGAGAGGTTGCTTGTGGGCTCGTATGTGAAGGGAAAATGCCGAAAGAAATGTCGAAAACGCTTTTAATAGAACCCCTCCAACCTGCATAGAACTCCAATACAACAACAGTGGGTAAAACGCCAATAAAACCGTGGGTAGGAGTAAGAAGTAGTGCACTCGGCTGACTCCTTGTAATGAGCACTATGATCCCACCAGAAACGCTTGATTATTTATTTCATGCTATCTGTACGGTAGCATCGCCTATGGGTGGAAGGCAGGCTAAAGGTGGAGTTTGGAGGCGCAGTCACTGAAAAGGGGGGGGGGGGTACAATTAGAGCAAGTTTGCCCCTTTACTCCTTTATCTTACAGCCTTCGGCCGCGAAAGTGGTTCACACTACCCTTCCCACACAATCTTTTGCATGCTCATATCGCGGACATTGTCATTCCTTCAACAGCGAAAACGACAGTACACGTTTGTGGCGGTCTGTGGCAAAATCAGTCTTTTCTCCCCAAATTAGGAGCAGCTTTGTGGTGTGACTCGCCTTGGATAACTTTCTACCATTTTCTCGGTGGA